TTGTATAGGTTTTAGCTAATTATGAAGTTGCACCTTGAGCCTCCTGACTTGGATGAACTCCATACCCAACCTGTTGACTGGTTTGGGTTTCGCTCTGAGGTGCAGAACTCTTCCTCTGACCTGAGTAAGAAACTACCATGCCATTGAAGAATTGAACACTGGTGCTATGTGCCTAAACATCAGCTATTGAGGCACTTCTGACACTTACTGCAGCAAACCTAAGACAGTGTTAAACTCAAGAAAGGGTCCTGCAACCCTGCTACTGCACTGGTGCCTTCAGCAGCTCCCACGAGCAGCACATTAATCCCTGGCGCACACTGAGTTTGTGCAGCCGAACCGACTTAGGAAGCCAAGGATGTAATTCCCTTGTATTGACCCTACCTTTAAATAACCACAATAACTGGGATGCAATTCCTCAGTCTCTTCACACGCCTAATTCCCGACAACTTCAATGAGCATTCCTGCCAGAGACAGAGCTGCGGAATTACTCCTAACAACTGGCATGACTTAACTTGTTCCTTCTTATAACTTTGTGGTTTACTTACATGTCAAATTGTATTTTCTGGGTAAGCAGAATGAATATAATAACCCTCTTTCCTCAAGTAGGTCAAGATTTTCTTATTTTCTGCAGGGCAAATTACTGTAAAATATGAAAAACAGAAGACATGAAATGTTCACATTTTGGTTACTGTCATGTGGAGTCTTTTAGGTATCTACAGGTAACTAAATAGTACACATTAAGCTTCTGCTTTCCTTTTTTAAATCACAGGAAATGCTACATCTAGCTGAGAGCAGATGCTTCAGGATCTACGGTAATAGCTGCCACTGGGCACAATGTGAACAATTTAAAATTCCAACTTGATAGCATCTAAAGAAGTGGATACTTTCTGTGTCTTGATTTTAAGTGCCAAAAACAAAGGAGGAAAGAAAGTGAGCCACAACAGGACTACACTGATCCTATATAAAACTGATCAAGCTTACTTTAAGTAGAGGGTTGAAGTCACTCTCTTGAGTGTTGACTAACTAGATTCCATTTGAGAGTTATTTTATACTTGTAATTTTTAAATCTCAGAAACAGTCCATACCAGCTTTAAAAAATACATTTTTATCTATACATTCCATATTATGTCTGTATTTGAGGACATAAATCTTTTTCTTCTTCTTTCAGGCCTTGCAGAATCCAAAAGAAAGCAAGCCCTTTCCTGCTTGAGGGTTATTTGTTTGGTTGGTTTTGAAACTCCGCATTTCAGACATGAATCTGCAGTGTTTACTTGGGTACATGATTGCTGTTTTCTTGGGAGTGAGGCTGGATGCCTGGCTTCTGAAATCACCTCTCAGGGCAGTATGGCTCTCGCTCCTTGTGGCAAAGCCTGAACCCAAGATTCAGCACTTCAGCAATTGATCTTGGTTGCCTTTAGTCTGCATTCTTTAATTTTTCAGATGTGTATTTTCCTCATATGATATGTGCTATTTAATCCTTTGGACAAGTTCTGTCCTTTCTACATTTTTCTGCTTCCTCTGAAAAATGCATGGCTGGATGAATCTAAAACAATTGGAAGTGTCCCTGAGAAAAACAGCATTTAAAGACAGGTAAAAGGCTGTTCTTGAGTTGTCTATGAAAGATGAAAAGAATGTAGCTCCCAGTATCTTATTTTTGTGACTAAATAGGTAGAAGGCATCATTAGCATGCCTTCAGCAAACTGATAAGCTATCATCTACCATGCTAATGAAATAACAAAGTAAAAAAAACCCCATAAACCAGGCAGCTTAAACCTGCATTTCTTACCCAGGAAAATCCCATCAATCTCACGGATTGCAAATCCTGGCCCGTGTCCAATCAGGCTATTCAAGACATGTGGGTATACGACAGACAAAAGTATGCATTTCTTTCCTTATACCAGAGATGATCTGGAACCAAGTATAATACTCAAGACAGGCATGTCATTGCTTATTTTAAGCCTTAAAATTTTAAGCATTTCACAAAAAAATCATACTTTTAACTAGAAAAAAAGGGGTTTCAATAGCTCCTAGATAATAACTGTTTCTGGACTTGAGAAACTTGGCACAATACAACCATGTACTCATTTAAGAGACACCACTGTGAAATGTGTTTTGCAATTTAGCACCTAAGGCACAACCTTTTGGTGCTTCATGCATTCAACCTTGGCAGCAGATATAGGGCGCTATTCGTTGGCAGAATTAGGCTAGTAAGAGACATAAATATATTAGCAAATTAAGCCTAACTGTATGTGTATTTATAAAAAGCACAGTATCATCTGTTCTACTCCCAAACCTCGCTACATCAAGCTGACTGCACACTGGAAAAATTTTCTCCAAGGGCAATGCTCTCCAAATGCATAAGCAATGCTGCTCCCTGACATCCAAGGTTTGAGCAATTTGGTTAGAAGATATGACAAGATTCAGGAATATTTTCAAACGTAGGGTTGCTTTAGTGCACGGAAGATATGCAAATTCTCTGTACTGTCAACCTAGGATACCATGTTTTCTTTGTGGAAAAAATAAACTCTTTTCCAGCATTGATAGACTTGTCCACACAATTGATGAACAAAAAGCAAGAGGCACCCAAAAGTCACCACTGCCAAGACTGAGGTTTGGATTCCCCCCCACCTAGTGAGATGGGTAAGAAAAAAAGTGAAATATTCTCATTGGTTTTCTTTTGGATTAAAACCAGCATGTATTTATCAAACACACCTCACAGTTCCTTGTAAACGTCCACATTTTCTGGTTACAAAATGCTCTCCAAGTATAATTTAGCCTGGGGAAAGGTCAGGGTTGTGCTAGCTAGTTCCAGCCTGCCCCTGCTCACCTGCTGGCTCCCAGCTGAAAGCTCTGTGTAAGAGCATGCAGGGCCCTCCTGCAGTGGCCATCACTCCCTGCACATCTCCCTCCCTCCAAAGGCAGCAGGGTGTGAAGACTGGGACTGCATCAATGCCATGCTACCAGTGGAGACCAGCACCCTGTTCCTGGCACAGTACCACACTGGAGGAGCTGTGGTGGAAGGTGATGCATTCTACACCTAGGCAGAAAACAGTTCTCACAGGAGCTACATAAGGAATTAATTAGAAAACTCAGTGAATCCCTGACTTCTTAAAATTATTTTTGTAAGCCATAATTATCAAGTATTAAAAAAAAAATCAGGAAGAAGTTGACATACAGCTCTTGCAAAGATTGGCTTTTACTATCCTCACAGCAGCACTTTTCACAAAAATACCAGGGGAGTAAGGACCTGCAGACACCACTCCCCATGCAGCCAGGCCACAGGACAGCGAGCAGCAGCCAGGAGTTACCACAGTCATCCTACAGACTTTGCATTTCCATGAATTTCTTCCCAGTCCCTATCAAAATTCTTCCGTGCTCACCCTTTTCTACAGCAACTTCCCAGACAGGGCCAAGGGCCGACTAGGCGCTACGGAGGAGCCGGCTGAGTGGTGACACGCAGAACCAACAGGGCCAGGGACTTCAGCCCACCGAGGCAGCGGGACGTGGGGGAATTTTTATAGCTGAAAAAACTGCCCCCGAGGCCCAACTGGGCCGAGGGGAGCGGAGCCCGTGAGGCGGTGGCTCTGAGGGAGGGGAGCCAACGCCCGCCTGGGCGGGACCTTGGCGCACGGGGGTGTCCCGGCGTCCCACCCTGATTGGCTGAGCGCGGGGCGTAGTCGCCACTGGAAAGCGGCCCGACCAATGGGAGGCGGCCGCGGGCGGGAGGACCGGTGCCGCCGCTCGGGGAGGGCGGGCGCTGGAGGCGGTAGAGGCCGGTCAATCTTGCGGCGGTAGCCAATCGGCGGCGGCGGCGGTGGGTCGTCAGGCGGGCAGGGGCGTGGCGTGCCGCGGAGCGAGGAGCGGTGACAGTTGCCGCCGGCCGCCTCCGCCTCTTCCCCGCGGGCTCCGGGCCGAGAAGCAGCAG